ATAGAGCTCGCTAGACCATATATTAAAATCAGTTTCCAATAATGACATAATAAAATTAATATTGAGGAGTATGAGAAAGGCAGAGCAAATCATGCACTTAAATATGACACTGTAACAACCTACAAGGTGAAACACCACATCTCATATAACTAGTCAGACTAAATTATCAACGTACGTGAGACAAAGTGATTTGCCGAAGCCTGAAGGTGAAATTAGCATCCACAATTATGAAAACAAACAACACCCAAAAAAACTATAGCAAATATACTTCTCAGTACCTTTAGGGTATTAATATGTGACTTAAAGGACAACTCCATTCATTTTTATCTAATCTTTAGCGATCGTGTGTTTTCTATATTCCTTGGACTCTCACCACCGTTCACCATCATTTTCAAGGAATTATCGGATTAGTAAGTTTATGCCCACAGTAAAGTCTTATACAATACCAAAAGTAGTGAAACGTATTCAGGGCCGTTGACGGGCACTTTGTCACGGTGCGTCAAAATAATATTCATTACTAACACTAATACGTAGTATAGTGTAGTAGAGTTCGTATCCACAGGGAAAGGAACACTTCTCTTTTTATGAACTAGTAAATAAAGGGGGGTTTTGATTGAGTGATTTAATTTAAAACTAAACACGAAGATGAATGAGTTATATGAAATTAAATTCAAAGATAAAAAAGGACTTGGCATTGCTACTTTCCACTTGTTGATATATTTTAGTCGATCATTGTTATATCTATAACTTATCCCCTCTCGAATACTCAATCGAGGAGTATATCCAATTCATCGAGGGTAGTTATTAACAACGACCGTTCATTAATAACCCTTACTATTAGTGAAGTATAGAACACCGCCATATACCGACTTAATAGTAGCATTTAATCTCTTAACTCCTTGATGAAATCAATTGAGATTGATAACCTCAACACAACGGTTTCGGTTTAACCAACAAAATTAATCCCTCTTAAGTTTATTAACCACGACCGTGCATTAATAAACCAAAGTTACTTACTTGTGAAGCCATCAACGATTAACCATCGGTTCGTTGATCGTTTCTAGTAGTAATTAATGTCGAGATGTTAACTAATTGTCATCTTAGCAACACTCCCCAACATTAACATAGAGATAGGTTAAGGGAAGAATTAATATTCAAGGAAGAAGATTAAATATGAATAATCCTACTATAACTAATGTCAAGATGTTATCTAATTGTCATCTTAGCAACACTCCCCAACATTAATATATAGAGGAAGAAGATAAATACTACTATAACTAATGTCGAGATGTTAACTAATTGTCATCTTAGCAACACTCCCCAACATTAATATATAGATAGATTAAGAGAATAATTAATATTCAAGGGAAGAAGTTAAGAAAATAACTCACAACTTTAATAATCAACAAGCTTCAAGAGCAACACCAAGAAATGGAAGTTTAGCTCCTCATTTGGAGACTAAACATGCTATAAAAATATAAAAGAAATGCTATTCTAAACTGAGCTTAAGAGTATGGAAGAAGGGATTATTCAAAAGTGAAGGAAAATGGGGTTATTTATAGGTGTTTTCAACACCCTGGGGCATTGACCCGCCCGGGTAAATGGACATACCCGACCGGGTTTACGTCAAAATCAAATATTTTGCCACGCTCTCATGTTTCTGCACGTCGTTTGGTCCCGGGTCGTTTCTGACCCGACCGGGTCCCCTAGTTGACCCGACCGGGTTTGGTCAAAATCAGATTTTTTTTTTCATTCTGGTGATCTTCGGCATGTCCTGGTGTTTCGGGTCACATCTGACCCGACCGGGTCAAGTAAGGGACCCGACCGGGTCTGTGTAATTTCCAGCTATCTTCGTCTGTTTAAATCTTACCCGACCGGGTGAAGTGTTCTACCCGGTCGGGTTTCAGCTCCTGGAAAGTCTAATCTCCCTTTTCCTTCACTTCAAAGTCTTCCTTTTCAACACCATAATTCCTAATTCTACTTTACAACTTACAAATGAGAATCAAAATACAATTACAACTAAAATCACACAAATGTTTACAAACTAAATAAAACGATAAACAATACACATAAATCAAACATAAAAACATACACTTATGCATTACTAATTAGTGCATATCAGCCGTCTAGAGCAATTGTGAGGCCTTAGACAGTCATATAGACACTTTGTTTCTTAATACATATAGATTCGTAGAGCCGACAAACGATGTTATAAATACTTATAATGAAGTCATTTGCTACTTTGTTTTCTCTTTGTACACCCAGAATCATGCTTTTGTTCCCCTGTTATCACAAAATCTACAATTCCGTTCAATATAATACTAACGTTGTCTTACTAACATTGAGACATGAGAATGAGGTTCATGTGATTAATAAAAGGAAAAATTGATAGTAATAATCCCAACTATTGGTGGTCCGCTCATAATAATCCCAACTATTGATTACTCCAGAATAATCCCAACTTTAAGGACCTTCCGCCAACAATGGTCTCTATGAACAAATTCTTGTAGTTTCTAAAGTGGATGAGATGAGATATAACAAGTGATCCCTATAAATAATATCAACTTTTAATTTTTACGCTTAATTTCTATTTAAAATTCACTTTTTATAGAGGTAATATCTGGTCATTGACCATTATTGGCGGACAGTCTATAGACATTATTGGCGGACAGTCTTAGTTGGGATTATACAAAAATAATCAATACTCCCTACGTCCCATTTATATTGTCCCGGAAGAGGGTGGCACGGTTATTAAGAAAAGTGGGTTTGTGTGGTTGATATTAATTGATAAAGTAAGAATAAAGTAAGAATGATTTAGAGCCACACAAACTTTGCCAAATATGGTATGGGACAATATAAGTGGGACTTCCCGAAAAGGTAAAACGGGACAAAATAAATGGGACGGAGGGAGTAGTTGAGATTATTTTCAGCGGATAGGCAATAGTTGGGATTATTATTTTCAATTTTTCCTTGATAAAAAAGTGAATTTATGTGGTTGATATTGGACAAATAAAGTTAAGAATAAACTAAGAATCATTTAAAACCACTCAAACTTTATCAAATTTAGTATGAGACAATTTTAGTGGGACAGATCAAAAAGAAAATACTGCTATGAGACAATCTTAGTGAGATGGAGGGGTGATAAATAAGTAAAGGGGTTAGGTCATGAATACTACTAATTAAAAGAGTTAGGACAAATATAGGACCTCTTTTAGTTTTTACCAAAAAAGTGCGGCGCGTGTGCATCATTCACAAACTTAAAATTAATATCTCAAATATTCCCTGCACTATGCGGAGTATCATTTCTTGTGTGTATTACTGACTTGCTGTGTTCTGCCCATGCAATGATAATTATTTTTTTCATATTATTCCACAAGAATGTACTAATATTAGAATAAGTTACAATTATTTGTCTAATTAATTACAATAACCGATCGGACCAATTATAATTACCAAATCGGTCAGTTACAATTACTCGATTCAGTTACAGTTACTCAATCTGACCAATTACAGTTATCCAAATCAACCAGTTATAGTTACCCAATCCGACCAGACCAGTTACAGTTACTCGATCCAGTTACAGTTATCTGATTCGACCAGTTACAGTTACCCAATCCGATCAGTTACAGTTGTTCGATTCAATCAGTTACAATTATCCAACCCGACCAGTTACAATTACCCGACCGATGAGTTACACTTATCCGACAAGTCCATTTACAATCACTCAACACGTTCAGTTACAGTTACACGGTCATAGTTGCTTAATTATCTGCTTAACCATTTACAGTTAATTACCACCCGTTGCCGCCCTAACTCCGGCGGCCAGCCTCACCAGCCCATCTCTAACCCAAACCCTAGACCCTTGTTCAGCATACCTCAGTCCCCAAATCCCCTGCCACTAAAGCGTCCAGCCAGTGCCGCCGCCGGCGACGGCCACCACACCCGCCCCAGCCCCTACAAGACTGCAACCACCTTATCCCGCCCAACCACCGCACACCGCTGCCCCTCCCCAGCGCTGATCAGTGTCGCCCAGAAAGGCCTCTCCACAACCCCCAACCCTCGCACGACCATAACCCCAGCCCCAGCACACGCCGTCCATGCAAAAAAAAAACTATCTGCAACTCTGCGTCATTAATATCGTACCTGATTCGCCATTGCCACGCTCGATTTGAAACCCAAGCTGTCGAAGACGCCATTGCCACGCTCGATTTGAAACCTTGAATGTCGGAGACTCCATCATCGCGACTGTCACCATCGATTCGATCTCGGTCGTTCAGGCAGAAGAGAAGAACAGCAAAAAAGAAGCTTACCTGGGATGTCGACGGCGGCGGCGGCGGCGTAATGGGACGGAGACGATGGTGACGACATGGAGCCTCCAGGATGGATTGCGGTAATGGTATCTGGGTCGCAGGGATCGATTGATGAAGCAGGGATTTGTTCTCTTTTTGTTAATTAGGGGTGTTTTAGTCTATTTAGTAATTTTGGTCCTATATTTGTCCAAACTTAAAACTGGTTCCATTTTTGTAAACGCAGACGTCCGTGGTGTTAGTTTTGCCATTTTTTCATAAGTAAATGCTTCATAAATAGAATTTTATTGCTCATCATAAATAAGATATTAAGATTATAAATATTCAATATTATAATCAAACTCACATATCACAATTCATCTATTTCTATATAAAAAGAGGTGGAAAATCAGATGGTTTTCCCACCTAAAGTGTAGGGCAAAAGTGGGTCGGGTCACATGCATCAATGGGTTAAATGATGGGTCATGATAATTGCTTGGGGTCATTAAATGCACTGTCTATATTACATTCGAAATCTCAAAAGCATATTTGCATTGGGGAGTGCATTATGACTGATTATATTAATTATATAGTCAAAGAATCTTTTGACAAATCTTAAAAGCAACAATGCATTAAATGCAGCCTAGTGAAAGAGCATCTTTACTCAACCACCCCAAAAGAAGTTAATTTACCTTTGACTGATTTTCCAACCAGAGATCACAAATTCAAATTACGAGCTGGATGGTTGGATTTTTTTCGCAAAGGGGAATCCCATTAATTAAGATCTTGCTCGGCTCATTGCATAGAAATATCCAAAGGATATTTGAACAGTCCACATTACTTTGGCAACCAATTTCTGTGAAAGTCTAATTCCACCCGTCTGCTACTATATATAGAAGTATAGATTACTTACACAACATTCCACAGCACACTTCACTCCACTCACGCACAACACCAAACCAATTTGCTACTAAGTTCACAAATCAATAATGGCTGAGAGCTCCATCGATCACACCAAGACCACATGGGTAGTGCAAGTGAGAGTGGTTAGGGTTTATGAAGTTGCTGCCCATGCCAAAGGTGTGAGAACTTTGGAGATGGTGCTTCATGATGAAGAGGTATATGGTATATTTATTTTTGGTTATATTATCCTTCTTAAATATTATTCTAAAAACTGTTTAGATGTACAAAAATCGTAAACTTAATAAATTTTACAGGGTAAAAGCATCCATGCGGTGGTTAAAAGACCACAACTTGCTATGTTCAGGTCAATAACAAAGGAAGACAAAGTGTATGCGATAAAGGAGGATTGTTTAAGGTCCAAGTCAAGAAGAACCAAGAAGGAAGCTCTTACTAAGGCATCCGTTCATTTGAAGTTTTGTCTATGATCAAGGATCCAACTGTTTTGGCAATGTACAAGACAAAGGAAGTTGAGACTTCAGATCTTGATGATCTTGAGGAAAAAGAAATGGTAACATACTTCTTAAAGTTCGGGCTTTACAAATCTCTAAACCAATGTGTATTAAACCTGATAAGTTATTTTTCAGTGCGGTTCTGTGAACGATGTTGAGCTGACTGCAACTAACAAGGAATTCAGAGGGACGGAAAATGTCAAGGTTGATTATTGATTTGTTTCGTTGTTTTTGTTATGTTGTTGGTCCCAGTTTACGCAGACTAACGATCAGCTAGATGGTATTCATCGATAAACAGAGAAGAAGGATTTCACAGAATGATATTAGCGGTTATCGAGAACAGAGAAATCTTCTTTCTATTGTATCGAGAAGTAATTTGGCAGCGTAAGGCTAAGGTATATTGATCGATATCGGTACCTATACACAAGGCGCATATTTATAGGCACTGTACAAGTTACCGATTTAGGTAAACCTTGAGGTTTGGGACAAGGCCTTTTTGGGCCTTATTCCCTTTAACCTATTTATTACATAATGATTTCTAATCTAATACCATAAATGATATAACTAGTCTACTTTATTAAACAAGACATTATAAACAAACTTGACTCACAATAAAAGTTCTAACAATCTCCCCCCTTTGTGATCAAGTGCCGTCTTGCTGGGTTTCTTCACTTTTGAGCTTTGTAAAAATTCTTTCTGAGATTAAGCGCATGCCCATAGCTTCTGAGTGAATTTCTTCTATCAAGTTGCTTCTCGATGGCCTGTAGGATGTTGTCAATTCTGTGTGCCTCTTTTAATTCAGCATCTGTGGCATCTGCATACTTCTGCTGTCTTTCTTTAAATGCTTCTCTAATAGGTTGCAGCTTCTCTTTCACAATCTCCAGAGTTCCGTCACAGTACTTGTTAATTTCATCAATGAATAGCATGTGTTTCTCACCATTGTGATTCAGATAGATAAGCGTGATTGGACTATCAAAGATGTAATACTCAGGAAAGTTCTCAAGTTCTTGTCCATACAGCTTAGGTCTTGTGAGATTTGTCTTGGGCATGTTTGTTTCAAGAGCCATCTGAAGATCATGAGAGGCAAAGAATTTGATTTGTCTGATCTTAAAGCGATTGAGTGCATCAAACCCATTTTGCGTGATCTTGTCTCGAGTCCCGGGAATTTCTTGAAATGCAAGATACATCTGATAGATGTCATCCATCTTCAGCATGTAGAGATCATTTTCTTTGCATGTGAATTCAGTTCCATCGGAGCGTTGTAGACGATAGACAGAGAGTTTGATATCTTGAATATTCATCTCAGCTACATTGAGGATGGCCCAAACTGGGTCCTTTGCACTTTGAAGTTCATGTTGCCATACCTCTCTATGTTTCCCCATGTAATTATGGCTTAGCAGAAATAATTGTCCGCCCTTGTTGTTCCCTCGTAGATGATTAAGCCCATGGATTTTCAACTCATCCAGATCTTTGACTTTGTCTTCTCTTCGCCAGATATTCTTTCTGATTTCCTCTTGAAAGGGAGCATTGACATCCACGTTCTCCCAGGGCTTTTCACTTCCGGGCATCTGAGTCGCTGTCTGTCTGATTATGGATTCAAGCTCTTTGGGGAGTTTTTCATACTCTTCTCCTTCCTTGAATTCATCTCTTTCAAGTAGAATTACGACAGCAGCACAGTTAGCTAGGAGTTCCCGAAGGTATGCTCTTCGCTGTATTCCATCTATATCCGTCCATAGCTCAGACCATTTTTTGTGCACCAGCATTTCCTCAAGTTCATCGTGCATTTGATCATTGTAGTAGCTAGAGGGCGGAGCATCGGGATCCTGGTGAGACTTGCAGGGATCCTCAATTATCTCAACACGATGCTCTTGCGCAGAGACCAGACCTCTATACTTCGTTACATGCAGCCAATCCTCCCTTGGCTGAGAATGGGTGACTCTGGGATCCTCAGGATTGCCCGTTGTCATCAGTTTCGAACTAGGTTCTGGTTGATGGCCTGAGTAGGAAGATGTACTCGTGGTATCATCATCAGGACTTCCATTCCATCTTTGGTCAACATCTACAGGAGATGCGCCTCGGAATGTTTTATCTAGCTCGACCATGCTAGAAAGAGAGGCTAGGGATTTATGGCTAGCTGAAGTAGTGGGTTGCTCGTTGGTAGAGGTGGAGGGTTGGTTTGGTTTTGAGGGTTGGCTAGTAGAAGCAACATGCTCAAGTATCCGCTGGCGTTTGTTCTCCCCCTCATGAGAATCCGAATCATCAGGATCCTCATGTGAACGTTTAGTGCCACGGAGACTGTCACGACATGTGTTCTGAGTATCTAGAGCATGGAGAAGGGCTTTTTGAAGAGGGGTAAGGTTTCTTTCATCTGTCTCTAGGATACGATCGAAGATCTCAGCTACAAGATCCTCGAAGGGTACAGTTGTTAGGTTGGGTTTGGTCGTTGTAGGGGAGAATACTAGTTCTGTATTCTGGGTTCCCCTTGATGTGGATGGTTGTTGGTTTTCTATGGCTAAGGGTGTGGAAATAGGTATGGAAATGGTTGGGGGCTGTGTTGTTTGGGGTTTGGGTGGTATATTCTGAACAACTGGGGTACTTCCAGAGTCTTGTGCATTAGCGGTTATTGCTTTATGCACCCATGGTTTAATGGTAGATTCTAGAAAGCTGTTCAGATATACGAGAATGTCTTTGGGAATGGTGGTACCAGTTACAGGGGTTGTAACTGTTGTCACAACATCAGTGAAGATAGCTGATGTGTGGCCTGCGTTCAATGGTCGAGTCATTGTTGGCGTAGCAGGACTTCCGACCATCATAGTTTGCACTCCGGTCGTTGCATTCAGGGTGAGTGCACCTGTATGTGCAGTGAATAGTGTAGGTGTTCTAGAGAAATTTAAAATGTAGGAATAGTGACACCTAGACTCGATGTGATAGAACGGATGGGGGTAGTGGTCCGGGGCTGTTGACCACTAAGTCTCTCAACTGTTTCGGAGGGAACCAGCGAGGTCGGTATGCATTCCCCTTGAGATATTGAAACTCCAGTCTGTTGGGAGACTGGAGAGTGGATGGGAGATGGCTGTGCATGCGCAGTTGAACCGGATGCTGCGACTTCTACCCGGGAACTGACAAGGTCAGCTCCTGCTCCTAGGGGCGTGGTTCGGTCTATAGTGAGGAAGGTGTCGCAGTCATCGTACAGTGCCAGCTCCTCTTCCACTGCACTCTTCTTTCTTAACCTCTTCTTAGGCTTGGATGATGCAGATTTATCACTTTTCTGCTTGGAGCGCTGCTCACTAATAATGATCCCCTTGATTGGTTGGGGTGTGAGTGCAGCCTCCATATCTTCTGATGAGGAGTCGGAGTCTATCCGGATGGCCTTCTTTCCGGCTCTCTTCCTGTTGCTGATCAGGACTCCCTCCATATCATCATCATCACCATTGTTCTAAAAATCGGCCTAGGCGGACCGATTAATCGGCCCTAACCGTAGAGGCCGAATCGGCCTAGTCAGCCAAAAAATCGGCCTAGTCGGCCAAAAAATTGGCCTAGTCGGCCGCCTAGGCGCTAGGCGCCCCTCAACCGCCCGACTAGCGCCTAGCGAGTTTTAGAACAATGATCATCACTATCTGCATCATCATCATCATCATTCCTCTTCTTTCCCTTGGCCATGCTATCGGAGGCCTCACCACCAGCCTTATTTGAAGGGGCCTGGCTTGATCGTTCATCGGCAGTGTCCTCAGCATTGGTAGGGTGGCCCTCAGCAGTCTGGGTCCTCTCGGAAGAGTTAGCAGACTGATCATCATTAGGCCAGACTGCCACTGGTTTCTGTGGCGGGGCTCTCTTCTTCTTATTACCCTCACGTTCACTCGGCTTGATCCCTTGGGAAGGTCTGGCTGGGTTTTGCTGAACCATAGGGACCGTTCTCTCAAGCTCCTTCTTGTAATCAATGACTGCCTTATCCCTCGGGTTTGTTAGATCAAGCAGGGAGTCCGGAATAGGCAGTGCTTCAGCTTTGTTGCTGTCCCTCTGGAAGTATTTGAGCTTGGGCGCAGTGAAGTGCTTGTCTTCCTTACGCTTAGGAATTGTGGGGGTGGGTTCCATTGTAACACCGCCCCCAAGTATTTGTACTTTACCGAATTATGTATTGAACTCTGGGAAATGAATAAATGCATTTTTCGTAAATGTAAATGTTTATCATTTCTTTTACGTGAATAGTAAAATTCACGTGGGGCCCACACCAGAAGTGGGGGCCGCCCGATATTATCGGGACCACATATTATATTCATTTGGGTCAAGATAATATGTGTATAATGATGGACATCCTTGTTGGGCCATAGAAGTTATGTGAGTAACCTTTTGGGCAAATAAAGCCCATTTATCGGTACCGGTGTATTGACAGATAAAAGCCATAATAAATTATGGAGACCGCTAAATTAAAAGTTGGGGGATGTACACTCATTCTTACATCCAATAATAATTGGAAGAATGATAGATATTTCATTTTACCCGATAAAATGAAACATAGTTAAACCAGTCCGGAAAATACAACTTTCGGGACCGAGTGTACACTCGGAGACACAAAGGGATGACCACCCATCCAAGTGGGGGCCATCCCCACGTTTTAGTCTTGCAAAGGGAGAGGGGAGCCGCACAAGTAAGAGGGAAGGGAGGCATGAGTTGATTGGGATCAAACAAATAAGAGAAAGAGGGGACCCTCCCATGCTATTATGGTGAGAAATGCCAAAAAGGCATTCTCAATCAACCCCAAACCCATGTTCTCGCCCAACCCAGCCAAGAACAGAGATAAGGTCTCAAAATACTCCATTGTTACCACCCATTCACGCACCAAAATCCAGGGAGAAAGGAAGAAGGGAAAAGAGAAGAGAAAAGAGGAGATTAGGTGCGAAAACTTGTGATTAATAAGGTAACGACCTCATTAATCCCATTTCTTCTCCTTAATCATATTTCATACTCCTAGGATAGTTCTACACATGTAAAAATGTAGAATGGGGGGTTGAAGGGTTGGTTTATACCCAAAACGGACTTTGAGAGCAAAGTTGACGGTTTGCCGGGAAATAACCTTTTAGAGGTTATTTGGATGGATATGGGTTTTATGATGATAAAACCTTGTTGTTAACTTGTATAAGGTATTTCAAGAACCTTCACGGAGTTGAAACGATCGCCGGAGTTGTCGCCGGAGTTTGTTGAAGTTCACCGGAGTTTCACCGGGGCCAAATCGGGGAGGCTAGACTTCATAAGCTTCATTAAGGTGAGAAGACGGCTATATGCTTTATAACTTTTGATTGAGGCATGAGATTACCTAAAGTAATCAAGGATATGTTTTACGGAATGATTAAAGTTGATCAAGTATGGGCTTATGCCATGATTATATATAAAACAAAGTTGAAAGGCATGTTTTGTATGTTTGGTGATTAAAAATGTGATAACTTATTATGTACAATGATCCAGGAGTCAAAAATGGTATTTTTGGATCAAGGACTTCAAGTAGAATATGCATGTAAAATTTCACGTTAATCGGACTCCGTTTGGGCGGTCAAACGGGCGTTGACCTCCAAGTCAACTACAATACCCGACCGGGTATCTGCTGAAAAATTGGCTCCAAGGGCTGCTGCCTCCTATACTCGATCGAGTATGGATAGGTACTCGATCGAGTATGCCTTGGAAATTAGCCTTACGGGCTCCTGTCTCCTGTACTCGACCGAGTATTGGTGGGTACTCGATCGAGTATTGAGTTATACTCAAAACGGGTAGTTTTTGAGTGGGTTAACGTGGACCGATCAGGCGGGACCCGTCCACGTTGGTTACTAAGGATTGTTATATGACTATAGGACCAGGTATTGTCCATAGTTGAGTAAACGAAAGGTTAGCCATATCCAGGTTAGGGTTTGGTTAGAAATAAGGTTGAGGTTGAGTATCCTCGGGACGGTAAATGATCCTAAAACTCGGTTGAGGTTGAGTATCCTCGGGACGGTAAATGATCCTAAAACTCGGTGAGGTTGAGTATCCTCGGGATGGTAAACAATCCTAAAACTCGGTGAGGTTGAGCATCCTCAGGACGGTAAACAATCCTAAAACTCGGTTGAGGTTGAGTATCCTCGGGACGGTAAATGATCCCAAAACTCGGTTGGGGTTGAGTATCCCCGGGAGGGTTAACACTCCTGAAACTCGGTAGGATATTATGAAGGTAGAATGTAGCTCTTAAGCTAGGCATTCAGGAATGAAAGGGGAAAGGTTGGGTAAGTACCTTGTCTCTAAAAGACTCTTTTGTGAGAAAATGACCTACGAGTCAAGTATTTTACAAGTATATACGGTATGTATTATCTTGGGGATGGGGTAACAATGGTTACACCTATAAGTATATGTACCACCCTATTTTTGGGTCTCGTGTCTGAAACATTAGTTATTCCTCATATAGCCTGCTTGTCACTAGTACTTCTATGGAGTACTGACCCCTTCGGGGGCCCTCACATTTTTCAGGTTAAGGCTTGAGACCAAATCCTGCACCTTTGCCCAGGGTGATCATCAATAAGGAAGACGTGGTTCGTGCTTCCATTCTCATTTAAAACAATGTAATTGCTCATGGATATTTGAACAAGGTTTTCAGTCAAACTATTAAAGGGTCTGCGTGCCCGTATTTGCCACGTGTGGCTAAGTATCAAACCTACTATTTCCGCAATTGTTTGATTATGATATCGATGTTGATTGTATGTGTTTACTAATCGGTTTGGCAATAGAATCTATCGGACGCCTTGTATGATCTAATAAGAATGAACTACGTTGTTCTTATTGGATTGTACGGCGGTTGTCTACGTGGCACGGACGCGGTCCGGGGCGTGACAATTAAATGGTATCAGAGCCATCGATTTCTAAACTATATAATTAACCTCTCAATATAGCATCATCAAAAATGTTTTGAGCAAAACCATGAGCAAAAGTTTTTGTACTTAAGGAACCGTTGGAAACCAAGTTATTGACCTCTTATTGTTAAGACGGTACCCTTAACAGTTTGTTGGCCATAATGTTGGACCAAGTGGTGTCTTTTGTACTATTCCGTCAATTGACATTGATACGAGTCTAACGGCTCATTCCAAATTTCTTTCAGAAATGGAGGGTAGAGGCATGGCTACGAGGAACAACCCGAGAGGGCAAACTCCGGTGACGTCCGAAGGGGCTAGCCAGGTTGCATCTCGGGGCGCGAGAGGCGGTAGGAGAGGCCGTGGAGGCCGTGGAGGCCGGGGAGGCCGTCGGGCTCAAACCGTGAGCGATGGCCATGTTAGCTCGGTGCATGGAACTCACACCGAGGATTATGACTCTACCTATGTTCCCGAGACGGAACATGAGGAGACCCCATATGATGGGGGTGATACGTATACTGATGATGACAACGATGAGAGTGATGCCAAATTCGCCCAGATGGGTGAACTGTTTGAGTGGTATCAAAAGGAGAAGTTGAGGAGAGATCTTAGGCGCCAAGCTAGGCGTGCCTCTCAGGGGGCTTCAGGTCACGGAAGCCGGGGAGCATCAGTGGCTACACCTGTGGCGTCACAGGGAATGCATGGAGGAGGTTTTTGTGTAAGAATCTCCAAATACCTCAAGGAGGCTAGGGCCTTGGGGTGCAAGTCATTTGACGGCAAGGGTGATATATCGGTGGCTGCCGATTGGATAAAGAAGCTAAATGAGGCTGCTAGGGATATGCAGATCGGGCTTGATATAAAGCTGACAGTTGCTACCAGGTTACTGGAGGGAGTAGCCGCGGTATGGTGGGAAGGCGTGGAAGGAAAGTTCCACGGTGAGACCACCTGGGAGAAATTTGAAGTAGAATTCTATAATCAGTACTACTCAGAGTTCGAAAAGAACCAGAAGAGGAAGGAGTACATGACCTTGACACAGGAGGATGGGTGCTCGGTAAGGCAATTGGAACAGAGGTTCCGGGACTTGGCACGATACATACCTGAGTACGCCATGGATGAGAACCGCATGGCTAATCACTTTTGGGATACCCTACAGTTGGATATCCGTGATAGGGCCACCTACAATCATCACATGACCTTTAGTGAGATTGTGGATCAGGGGCTACTTGGGGAAGCCAAGTGGAACGAAAGGAAGAAGAGAGACGCCGAGGAGGCGAAGAAGAGAAGATGGGGAAATTCTGGGCCCCAAGACCATTCTCGGAAACATCACGCTGGGAATGGAAGTTCATTTAGGGCGCCGGAACCACCGGCGAAGAAGAGCAAGGGTCCAGGAGGGCAAGGGCACAGCTCGGGGAGCGTGAGGCCACCAAGGTGTCTAAACTGTAACAAGAATCATGCCGGGAAATGCAATGCACCACCCCGGTGCTACAAGTGCGGTAGCACTAGTCACCTCAAGTTTTCTTGCCCAATGTTGAATGGAGGAGGACCATCGGGAGTCCCTGAAGGACCTACGTCTAACAGGGGGCGTGCAGGGTCATCTCAAGGCGGCACGGGAAGGGGCGGACCCACGGCTAGTAACGCCGCGTCCGTTAACCAAGGGAGGACCCAAGCACGGGTGTATGCAATGACCGAGGCCGATGCTCGGGCCAACCTGGACTCTATTGCAGGTAACCCCTTGAATCCACATGCATTTTCATGTGTTTTAAAGCTAAAAATCCGCAGGGAACATGTAATACCCGATCGAGTATCCATATATACCCGACCGGGTATGGGCAAATTGCTCGGTCTCGAAGTGTGTACTCGTTCGAGCACGTTTAGCAGGACCCTTTGATTTTGGCAAATCCAGCCATACTCGACCGAGTATGGTTATATACTCGATCGAGTATTAGTGGAATTTTGTTTTTAAGGCGTGTACTCGATCGAACGTTGTGGGCAGGAAACTCTTGTTTAAAACTTTGAGTAATACCCGACCGGGTATAGGCATATACCCGACCGGGTATAGAAGTTCGGTTCGGGTTCGAGGTGTGTACTCGACCGAGCAGGGATTCCAGGGGATTGTTGTTTAAAAACCTGAGTAATACCCGACCGGGTATGGGTATACACTCGATCGGGCAAGGTTAACAGAGAGTTTCTTCTTAAGAGCTCGAGTGTTACCCGACCGGGTATGGAGGGTTACCCGACCGGGTATACGGTAGTCCTAAGCTAGAATACTTGTCGTCCAGTCCTTATCAATCGGACGTTGAGTAGTGTGTCTTACATGACTTATGTATGTAGGGACACTAAAGATCAACGGCAGACAAGCGAGAATTCTCATCGACACCGGGGCGCAACGTTCATTTATGAGCGAAGCGTTTGCCGAGGGTTTGGACATGCCATTAACGGCGATGACGCAACCTCTGTTGGTCTCTACACCGTTGGGAGACGATGTAGAGAGGAAGCACTACTATCCTTCATGTAATGTGGAGATAGGGGAGCACCGCCTAATGGGCGACTTTGTACCGTTAGACATGCTTGAGTTCGATGCCATACTCGGCATGGATTGGCTTGAGAAACACCATGCAAAGGTAGATTGCTACACCAAGGTGTTAGAATTAGAAGACGGCGAGGGAAATACTCTATGCTTCGAGGGAGATAGAGGAAGATTCAATCCCTGTATCATATCGGCCTTAAGGGCGAGGCGTTTGATGAAGAAAGGTTATCAAGCATACTTAGCCTATGTCATAGGCAAGGAAGGCAAAGGAAAGAGCCTCACGGAGGTGAGGGTGGTGAGTGAGTACCCAGAAGTTTTCCCCGAAGGACTCCCGGGACTCCCACCAGATCGAGAGATTGAGTTCGAGATCGAGGTTGAGCCAGGCACCAAACCCATCTCAATTCCTCCGTATCGAATGGCACCGGCTGAACTTCAAGAGTTGAAAGTTCAATTGGAAGAGTTACTAGATAACGGATTCATTAGACCGAGTCATTCACCATGGGGAGCACCTGTACTCTTTGTTAAGAAGAAGGATGGCACAATGAGAATGTGTATCGACTACCGTCAATTGAACAAGGTCACGATAAAGAGATATCCTTTGCCAAGGATTGACGACTTGTTTGATCAATTACGGGGGGCAACTGTATTCTCCAAGATCGACTTGAGGTCGGGCTACCATCAACTAAAGATCAAGGATAGTGACATACCCAAAAGTGCATTCCGTACAAGGTATGGTCACTATGAGTTCCTGGTGATGTCGTTTGGGCTTACAAATGCCCCCGCGGCATTCATGGACCTCATGAACCGAGTATTTCATCAATACTTGGACCAATTCGTCATAGTGTTCATTGATGACATTTTGATATACTCCAAGAACGAGGAAGAACACGAGAAACATCTAAGGCTCGTGCTTGAAACACTGCGGGAGAAGCAACTCTTTGCCAAATTCTCTAAATGTGAATTTTGGCTTGGGGAGATCGGTTTTCTCGGGCACGTGGTATCAGGTTCGGGCATTTCAGTTGATAACTCGAAGATTGAAGCAGTCACTAATTGGGAGAGGCCCAAGAATGTGAAGGAAATAAGGAGTTTCCTTGGTTTAGCGGGGTATTACCGCAAATTCGTGGAGAAGTTCTCCGTAATAGCATCTCCACTCACGAAGCTCACCAAAAAGGGAGCTAAGTTTGTGTGGGATGACAAGTGTGAGAAGGGGTTCCTTGAGCTAAAGAAACGATTGACTGAGGCACCAGTACTTGCTCTACCCGTGCAAGGGTTGGGGTATGACATCTATAGCGATGCTAGCATCCAGGGGCTTGGGTGCGTACTGATGCAATCGGGGAAGGTAATTGCTTATGCTTCTCGGCAACTGAGGAAGCATGAAGTGAATTACCCCACACATGACCTTGAGCTAGGAGCTGTGGTGTTTGCCTTGAAGATTTGGAGGCATTACCTCTACGGTGAGGTGTGTCACATTTATACTGATCACAAAAGTTTGAAGTACGTGTTCACTCAGAAAGAGTTGAACATGAGGCAGAGAAGATGGATGGAACTGATCAAGGATTACAACTTGATTATAGATTATCATCCAGGGAAGGCTAACGTGGTAGCCGATGCTCTTAGCAGGAAGAGTTCATCGGGGGTGTTACTCTCATGCTTGCGAGCGTTGAGGGCACGCGTGGAGATATCCACGAATGGGGCTCTATTGGCCAGATTTGAGGTGAGGCCCACCTTATTAGATGAAATCAGGACGCGTCAAGGCAATGACGAGGAAATTCAGAAAATCCGGGAACGGATGCTGGTGGGACCCGTCGAGGGTTTCCGTGAGAGAGAAGATGGACTCCTACTATTCAAGGAGCGAGTGTGTGTGCCGTCAGATGAGGAGCTCCGGAAATCTATTCTTGAGGAGGCCCACTCATCTGCGTATGCCATGCACCCAGGTGGAACAAAGATGTACCGGGACTTGAAAGAAAGTTACTGGTGGTCGGGGATGAAGAGAGAAATTGCAGAATATGTGAGCCGTTGCCTTACCTGTCAGCAGGTTAAGGCAGAGCACCAGCACCCGGCAGGATTATTACAGCCACTTACCATCCCAGAATGGAAGTGGGAGCATGTTACTATGGACTTCGTGGTAGGTTTGCCACGGACGGTTAGGAACTTTGATGCGGTATGGGTGGTGGTTGATAGGTTGACCAAGAGTGCCCATTTTCTACCTATCAACACTACTTATACGCTTGAGCGACTGGCCAAGTTGTATACAGATGAGATCGTGAGACTACATGGGGTTCCGGTCACTATAGTGTCGGATAGAGACCCACGGTTCACGTCACGGTTTTGGCCTAAGTTCCAGGAATCCATGGGGACGAAGTTGAGATTTAGCACAGCATTCCATCCTCAAACGGATGGGCAATCTGAACGGGTGATTCAGATTTTGGAGGACATGTTGAGGGCATGTGCCTTGGAGTTCCAAGGAAGTTGGGATAACCAGCTGGCTTTGGTAGAATTCGCCTATAACAACAGTTATCAGGCAAGTATAGGCATGCCTCCATACGAGGCATTGTATGGGAGGAAATGTCGAACACCCTTGTGTTGGGATGAGGTTGGCGAGGCCAAGCTTGAAGGCATCGAGCTAGTCGAAATCACCAAGGAGAGGGTGAGGGTCATTCAGGATAGACTCAAGGCTGCCCAAGACCGGCAGAAGAGCTATGCAGATAAACGTCGGAGGACGTTGGAGTTCGAGGTCGGTGATGAGGTGTTTCTGAGGGTGTCACCTTGGAAAGGGATCATCAGGTTCCTCAGCCGGGGTAAGCTTAACCCACGTTACATCGGCCCATTCAAAATCATTGAAAGGATTGGGGTTGTGGCGTATCGACTGCAATTAACTCCAGAGTTAGAAAAGATTCATAATGTATTTCATGTTTCCATGCTCAAGAAATATGTACGGGACCCGTCACATATTCTTGAGAAACCACCGGTGGAAATCCGGGAAGACCTTCACTATGCGGTGCAGCCGGTAAAGATCATGGACCGACAGGTAAAGAAGCTAAGGAGTAAAGAGGTACCGATGGTGAAGGTGCTTTGGAAGAGTGATCGTGTCGAGGAGCAAACTTGGGAAGTGGAGACCCTGATGAGGGAACAGTATCCATTTCTGTTTGACTAGACACGTGGATTTCGGGGACGAAATCCCAAATAAGGGGGGTAGAACTTGTAACACCGCCCCCAAGTATTTGTACTTTACCGAATTATGTATTGAACTCTGGGAAATGAATAAATGCATTTTTCGTAAATGTAAATGTTTATCATTTCTTTTACGTGAATAGTAAAATTCACGTGGGGCCCACACCAGAAGTGGGGGCCCGCCCGATATTATCGGGACCACATATTATATTCATTTGGGTCAAGATAATATGTGTATAATGATGGACATCCTTGTTGGGCCATAGAAGTTATGTGAGTAACCTTTTGGGCAAATAAAGCCCATTTATCGGTACCGGTGTATTGACAGATAAAAGCCATAATAAATTATGGAGACCGCTAAATTAAAAGTTGGGGGATGTACACTCATTCTTACATCCAATAATAATTGGAAGAATGATAGATATTTCATTTTACCCGATAAAATGAAACATAGTTAAACCAGTCCGGAAAATACAACTTTCGGGACCGAGTGTACACTCGGAGACACAAAGGGATGACCACCCATCCAAGTGGGGGCCATCCCCACGTTTTAGTCTTGCAAAGGGAGAGGGGAGCCGCACAAGTAAGAGGGAAGGGAGGCATGAGTTGATTGGGATCAAACAAATAAGAGAAAGAGGGGACCCTCCCATGCTATTATGGTGAGAAATGCCAAAAAGGCATTCTCAATCAACCCCAAACCCATGTTCTCGCCCAACCCAGCCAAGAACAGAGATAAGGTCTCAAAATACTCCATTGTTACCACCCATTCACGCACCAAAATCCAGGGAGAAAGGAAGAAGGGAAAAGAGAAGAGAAAAGAGGAGATTAGGTGCGAAAACTTGTGATTAATAAGGTAACGACCTCATTAATCCCATTTCTTCTCCTTAATCATATTTCATACTCCTAGGATAGTTCTACACATGTAAAAATGTAGAATGGGGGGTTGAAGGGTTGGTTTATACCCAAAACGGACTTTGAGAGCAAAGTTGACG